TTTCTTCATTTAATTTGATTCAATCAATCAAATGATAAACTCAATAAAATATCAATTTGATGTAATCAACATGATGGAGGATTTGATTTGCTATGAAATAATAATGATAAACATAATTGCTGAACAAGTGACAACATGCTGATATCAACAATTTGTTTTGTAAATAATTTAATTGTTATCAAGTTGTATTGTTTGATTGAACAATAATTAACAGAAAAAGATGAAAAGATCTAATTTAATTAAGAAAAAATTAGATTGTCAGTGAATTTGATCGATTGATTGACCTTCGTTCAAACAACATCACTTTTAATAGATCAAGTTGTTTATTAGTTGATTAACCCTTGAGGTGTTCAATCTTTCCTTGATTGTGATTGATCGTTAATCTAACCAACGATCATTTAACAAAATTGAAGACAAGATTCAATTACCTCATTTCATTTAAATCACCAATCGAATTGACTTTTGATTGAAAACTTTCAGTTTCTATGAAAAATAATGATAATCAATCCTCCATGGTCTCCATCATGTCTTAATGGATAACTAATTAGAGAATTAATCAATCGATAGTTTCAATTAGTTTTCCTCGATTCATTTAGATGATAAATAAATTCTCTCATATTTTATTATTCGAAAGTTAACAAAATGATTATCAATTCTTTGATTAGTTCCTCATTATTATTAATCTTGATTCCATCATTTGCAATGGTGATTTCTTTAAGTTTGTCTTTATTGTTATTCTTTCCTTTAATGACAATCGGATACTGACAATTAAGTGTCACCTTAACTCAAACCACCAACATAATGATCAATTGGATATATCTGAATATGAATTATCTCTGCAATAAAATGAATAGATAAGTTTGTTACTATTCTTACGCCCTTCCGGGGCGATCCACGTACCTGGACCATAAAAAGGCAACAGGTTAACGGTTTTTGCTTCTAATAATCTACCTGGTTCAATATTGTAGTTTCCATTTGTGTCAAAGTGAGAAAAACAATCTTTGTCAAAATTTGAAGCGTTTTCGTTATGCTTGAACTGTTTTTAGCTGAGATTACGTTTGTCAGCCAGCGAAAGCTGAGTAAACAAAATTTTAAGCACTAATTACTGAAAATTATGGCTTAGACCTTCATTATCTTCCGTTTATCTTGTTCACTTATAATCCTCAATTGGATAACGTTTCATAGTCGCCATCTATGGACAATTTACTTGGAACATTTTCTCATTGTTACTTTTTGGTTGTTTGTCAGAGCAGATTACTCATTACACGTGCTATTGGGGGAGGGGAGGAGAGGAGAGGAAGTTGAGTGATTAAGATTGACCATCAATACCTTGAAAGTAATACAACCAGTTTCATAGCGATACAAATCAAGACAAGTTAATGTGATCATGATGATAATAGATATGAATTTGATTTCATTGATAATATCTTAGCATCAATATCACTGAGGTAGTTTGATGAACGAAATGATGAGAATGAGAATGATGATAGTGAATGTTGATTGAGACTCGCCCACACTTTTGACCGCAACTGGACAAAAGAAAAGGTAAATTTTGAATAATAATGATCATGATGGAAAAAGATTAACTCAACATCTCAATTAAAGAGGAGGACTAAACGGTTATAGGAAGAGTTCCCGTGATACTAATCATTATTTAACATCTTCAGGAACATGGACAAGTAAAGAATCTTTTTAGAAGTAAGAAAAAAGATGATGAAGAAAATGATAAGTGTTTGGTATATGATGATAATGACGATGATGATGGTGGTGGTTCTCAGAGGGGGTGGTTCAAGTATTTTCGAGACTCGCCCTGCTAATAACAGTATAGCTGATACATTATATTACAATGAGAACTGAAAGCCACTATTAACCAAAACTCATAATTGTTTCCGAGTTTATCTACTGCATATTCACTTGATCATCTTTAAGATCTTTTCCATCACAAAATGTCCTCTTCTTTCCCTCCTCCCCATCACCATCATCATCATCATTAAAACATAAGTGTGTGTAATATGCTTCATGTTGATTATTTTGAGAAATAAAGTAACAACAAGATTCATGGAAACGAATGGCAAATGGAATTGGAAAGCGAGTCTATATCTTGAGGTGAACAGAAATCAGCGCGCTCAAAGTGTTTCAATTTCCAGCTTTTACCTGGTCTCTTATCGCTTTTATTCAGTATCTTTTTTGGCTTCATGATTTCAGTTTACCTTTTATTTTACTCCATCTATAACTTTATGTTATTCATTTCATCATGTTCTGGTGTTATTGTTGTTTGCTGCTGTTTCATTGTGTTTTTCTTCATTGTTATTTTACTATCCTGCGATTCTTTCACTCTTTTGTTTATAAGCATTTTCGTTGCAACGAACGTTTTTTTTTTACGTCAGATGAAATGAGCCAACATTTGCTCACCCGAATCGTGATCTAAACTAATGGATGAATTAACTTGGACGACGCCCGTCCGCTTTATCACGCAGTAATGAACATGAAAAAAGATACTCATGATTATTATTATGATGGCGGTGATGAGGATATCAAAAGTGATGAGAAATGATATGAGGTGTTATCAAAATGTTCATTATGATTATAATGAGCTTCCAATGATTCTGTTTGAGCTTTCAAAGTCTATTAGTATCATCATCATGACAAACTCAATTTATCGAAATTAATTGAGAAAATAACAAAAAGTTAAAGGTCTAATATCAAATCGATATTTCTTTTCTTCAACTCTTCCGAAATGCTAACCATGAACAAGCCTTGCACGTTGAGCCTGAGAATGATGCTGACAAATAGCAGTTCTAATTAAAAAGAGAACAGAAAAAAATCAAATTAATATTAATTCATTCACTTTCACGATTATCAGCTGATCATCGAATTGAGTTTTAAATTGGAAAACAAGACGGAGAAACTTTAGTAAAGATAATTAGTACCTAGAGATTGGATTGATTAAGAACAATTGTTAATTTTCTCATACGAAAAAACGAATGGTTGAGAATAATTTAAATTAATGATAGTAAATATTACTAATGAAAATGAATAGAGAATAAACAGTTTTGAGAAGTAGATTTTTTCTCTGATAGAAAAAAATTGAATTTTCGAAATTTTTGAAACTTCAGACAAGTTATACACATACGAATAATTATTTGTGCATCAATTTTGACAACAATTAAGCTACAATCAATTAGTTAAATGATGCAAATCAAAAAGTTGATAAAAAGTTGCTTCTAATAAATCATCTGATACGATTTTACATTTTCTTTCGCAATAATTGTAATGTTTCAAAATGAATTTGAGAAAAACTAATTTCAAGAAAATATTAATCTAAAAAATAAAAGGTAACATGATTGAGTTATCTCATGATTTTGAAAGGTTGAAGATGAAGATGAAGATGAAGATGGAGATGAGGTGATGGTGATGAAAGGTACAAACGATTGATTTTAAGTATGAGGGAGTCAAGGAGAGCAAAATATGAGTTAACTCTCGATTAGTGTCAAAATTAATTGTGGCTTAGAACAGACAATATGGTGAAAAGAAACAGGTTACTCTCTATTCTGATGCAACATCATTTTGACAGGTAACTGGGGCTTATTATATAATCAACGAGCTTTCAACTATTATTATCATCTTATGTTTCTATTTCATGGTTGCCCATAGTTAACTATTCATCTATCAGTATTCATGATCTTCCCTTCAATCTTTATGGTACAATGATTATCGCAGGGAACCAAGTTGGTCAATGTTCTGATTCAAGTCTAACTAGTTTCAGGTATTAATGGTAATAGATGACCACGTTCCTGGGATGACCTTTATCCCCCTGAGCATTTCAACTCATCAATCAAGTAAATCATGGTAACGATGGTGAATAAAAATGGATAATTAAATTGATTCTAGATTGTTGGGGATGGGAAGCCCTGAGTAAATAAGTTCCATTGACATGAAAAGTATTTAAAATAACAGTAAATTACAGACAATTATGTTGATTGTTTCATTTATCTTAACTCAATCTTTTACTTTTCTTTTCATTCTGTCTTAATAAGATCAATAATCATAATGACAATCAAGTTAACGACTTTGAATTACTGAGAAAATAAACCAAAGGGCTTTTGTCATTTTGTCACTCATTCATTGAATCTCTTTTCTTCATCATCTTCACACTCCCACTTATTATCTATCATTGAATCGCATTTTTCACGCCACTCATTCACTTTTTTTCCATTGAGACGTTTCTTACCTTATTCTCTCCTTTATTTACTATCATTCTCTCTCTAACACCATATAGCTTCATTTTGTATTGGAATGGAAAATTATAATAAATTAACATTAAACGTTGACTTGACCTCAAGTCCACAGGACGTAAGATGAAACATTTAAATGGCAGGACAAAGATTTGACCCGTTGGACATCGATCAGTGGGATATGAGTCCAGGTCAAGATAATTTATCAAGAATCAGTTTGTGTTAAATATAACAAAGAGTGGGAGGGGATCAAAATGATTAGAATTGAATCGAACACGTAAAATTGTAACGTCAACTGTTGCAACAAAAATACTTCTCAAGAAAAGGGAAGATCATTTTGAGGCCAATTTATCACCGCACCTTCTTGTCCATCTATGAATCTATCAAGTAGCTGAGATTTTACAACGATGTGTCTTGTTAGAGAAAGAGAGAGAGAGAGAGAATTGAGGATGAGGGATGAAAGAGAAGAAGAAAGAAAAAGAGTGAGTAAATCTTAGTCCCTTCGCTACAGGTCGTCACACTCTGTGGTGTCACTGTCAACCTTAAACTTTGCCCCAACCCCTTCAGGCATTAGCGTCAATTGACAGAATAGGTAAGGAAAGTAGCAGCAATTGAAGGTGTGAAAGGAAAGTGAGAGGGCTGGAAGGAGGTGGGAAGGGGGTCGATCGAGGAGGAAAAACTATTCTATGAAAAGAAAAGAAATCATTGCCTCAAGTCAATAGCAATTGTGAGAAGAAAATATAATAATAAGTAGAGAGAGAGAGAAAAAGAGAAAAAGAGAATCAAGTTGATTGTTTAATAAACAATTTTCATTAGATACCTGCAAGTAATTCGGTTAATCATTTCATAATCAGAATAATAAGATTGTATCTGGAAAATAAACACATAAAAGAATTGGTCAGTTAACAATTTTGAAAGTGTTTTCGACGGCCTTACAACAATCCTTTAATTGGTAACCTAAATCTTGCAAACCCGGGAGATCAGATGAAAAGCTGATTCTCCTTCCGTGATTGTTTAATAAATCAACCAGGTAGTTGATTTCATTCACTTGATTACGATATTTAGACTTGATTATTACATCTTGTCTCCATCTCGTGTCAATCAGTTCACTGAGAGTACTTTCTTTCATATCTGTAGAAATGTTGATATTAGCAAGATGTCCTTTTAATTGCTTTTCAATTACCTTGTATTCATCCACAATTAGTTGAGTGAAATGAGAGTCAACAGCAGCCTCATTAAGTGACGTTTCAATCAACAACATTTCCTCGTTCAAAGCTTTGTTATTTTTCGCAGTCTCAAGAAAGACACTCACGATCGCCAAACCAACTAATTTAAGTTCAGCCGAGTCCATGGCCTTGTCCAGGGAAGAGCCAATTCCGCAAGTCAAAGATTGGCCGATTGTCGAAATCAATTCAATTAACTGCGACTTGTTTACCCTCGAATCATCTCGGAGCAAAGACAAACCCGTGATGACATCTTGACACAGTTCCATTGGCTATTGGACGAAGAAAACTAAATTCACCGAATAAATTGACAGATAAAAATAGATGGAGAAAAACACAAGCGAAATTAATTATTCTTTTTCAATAAAAACACCCAATCAGCTGTTCCTCGAGGCGATAACCATTTGTTTCTCTGTGGAGTTTGTGGTGACACCTGTTGGCTCATTCGAGAACTTTTTGGACAATTTGTTCAATTTTTTTTTCTTTGCTCTTTGTTGTCATCTTATTTCCTACTTCCTTTTAAATTTGTTTAAATAATCATTTGGCTTTTTTGATTCTTTAATTAAAAGTGAAAATAATGGACACTGTTGATTATTTGAAAGAACTCTGCTTTGTAAGTAGCTGAAAGAAGGACCGAAAAGTGTTACTATCAATGAGTCTCTTCTTGTGAAAATCTTTGTCATTTTTAATTGTTTATATTCATTTGTTATATTTTTTTTTCTTTGTATTTCCGAGCAGGTGAGTGGGAAGAATTGGAACATGATTGACTCTATTTATTCATCTGACCCAGGAAAATGTATCAAATCAGTAATGTGAGTATCGTTTGATATCATTCGACTTTTCTAGCGACTGTTATTGTACTCAATGGATGTTTTCTTTTTTTCTAAATTCTACTTTTTCTCTAGGTTTATAAAGAACAATGTCATTGGAAGCAATAAGAATAAAGAAAACATCATTGAAAGAGGAATCGTTCCAAGACTTTTAAAATTGATTTTAGATGAAACAGTCAAGGAGCAACTTTGCCATGAATCTATCGCTATTATTTGTAGTTTGGCCAAAGGTACTTCGGATCACCTGAGAGTGATAATTGATGTTGGAACGGTTCCCGTGTTGATGCAAAAAATTTCAGATCCAAAAAGTAGCTCATCACTAGTTGAGATCAGTTTAAGAGCATTAAGATCCATCTTCACTTCATCATATGCTCCTATTGATCTTATTTACGATTCAAAACCTTACGGGGTATCTTTTGTGACTTTCCTATTGAAATTGGCCTTGTCATCTCGTAACTGGGTTATTCAGGAATGTATCGCCAATATTTTGGCTAATTCATGCCAAACCGTTGAACATCAAGCTGCACTGTGCAACTACGGTGCTATCCAAACAGTTGCTAACCTTACCCTTTCGCCAGCTTACAAGGTTAAAATACCAGCTCTTGAACTGTTGGCAGCGATTTGTCACCAAAATGAGGCTGCCTCTGAAATTGCTGTTTCAACTTCAATCAATGGTAAAAGACTTCCACAAATATTGACTGAGCTTATGAACCAGGAAAACACGCCAACAATTCAATTCAACGCAGCGAAATGCTTGACTTACATGTACCGTGCTGGAGCAATTTTGTCCAAAGACAATGAAATTGTTTTCAAAACTCTCCCTACATTGGCTCGTATGTGTGAAAAGGATAAAGAGCCCTGTATAAGAGCGGCATCGGCTCATATTCTTGCCTATTTAACTGAAGTAGATTCTGAACTTCAAAAAACTGCAGCTATTTGTAATCATATTATACCAACATTAGCCGATTTTTTCAAATATCAACCTTCATGTCAAGGACTTTCAGAGAAGCAAAATGCTGTTCCTTTTGAAAAAAGTTCATCACCACAAGACGAACCTGCATCAATGACTGAGGCTGATTTTGTCGAAAAAGTAAAGCTAACCATCGGTCAGGAGATGAAAGAAGCTGCTCTCAAGGCGTTTGCTTCTTTAGCTGCTAACGAAGAAGATACAAGAAAGAAGATAATAGAAACAGATATGCTGATGGAAAATATTATCAATGGTTTATCAGATCCCAATTTAAAGATCAGATTGGCAGCATTACGATGTCTTCACTCATTATCGAGATCAGTTCAACAATTAAGGACAACCTTTCAAGACCATCATGTTTGGATTCCATTGAAGAGTCTTTTAAATAATGCAACTGATGATGTTTTGATTGTTGTATCGAGCACCTTATGTAATCTTCTTCTTGAATTCTCACCAAGCAAAGAAGTAAGTAATTATCGATAATCTATCTACTCAATTAATAACTTGGAATTTTTCATCAACAGCATTTCTTGGATCGTAATGCGGTAGAGAGACTTTGCTCTTTAACTGAACGTTCAGAAACCGCTTTAAGATTGAACGGCGTATGGGCTCTCATGAATATGGCATTTCAAGCAGATCAAAATACGAAAAACCAAATCCTCACTTGTCTTGGAACTGCTCAAATTTTAAAGCTAATTTCAGATCCAGAGTCAACAATTGTAATAAAAACTCTTGGTCTCATTCGTAACTTATTATCCACTAAATATGTAAGCCCTTGTTGATTAAGTTAATGTTACATTGGTTAATCTGTTATTTTATTTTCTTATTTACATTAATTATTTCAGCACATAGATTCAATCATGTCATCTCATGGAAAACAATTGATGCAAGCGGTCAACATGGCTCTTGATGATGAACATCCAGCCGATATTAAAGAGCAAGCACTTTGTATTCTAGCGAATATCGCTAGTGGCAATGCTGCCAAAGAATTCATCATGTCCAATGAGGAAGTTCTCAAGAAGCTCTTGAACTACATGATCCACAGTAATGTCAAATTACAAATAGCGTCGGTCTTTTGTGTATCTAATTTACTTTGGAAAGAGGAAGATGGGGCAGCTAAACGCCAAGCTAAATTGAAAGACATGGGAGTTAAAAGTGCTTTGAAACAGCTTCTCCACACTCAAGATACAGCGTTATTTGATCGAGCTAAAACGGCATTAGATCAATTTTCCAATTTTCATTAGAACCATTTGAGATTAATTTGAAAATGGTAATTTTATACATTCTATTTCTCTCACAATTTGTATAATTTGTGATACAAGTCACAAATCTGATGAGTTGTTGTCAACCTAAACAAATCACTCGGTTGAATAAACCATCATCTTAACGTCAAATCAAAATTGTCTATTATTGTTTCACGACAAACTAACAAGAAAACAGCTTAATTGATAAAAAAAAAGCCTAAATTACTATACAAAGTACGAAAAAACTAATTATCTTTCGGGTTTCTTGATCAATAGACAGATAACGACTATAAGTATAAGTCAATATGAGGACCATGAGGTTAAATGTTAATCATTTCGTGTCTAATTAGCAGAAGCGAAAATACCAATTACAATAATCACGTGTTTGGACTGCTTATCGTTACCGATGCCTCGAATACTAAACGTGTCTTTCTCGAGTTGATATTAATCTTTTTTCATCAACTTTGATTAGACTTTTGAATTTTCTGTGAACATAAAATTTGTGTCAGGGAAAATTTTTTTGTATCTCTGATGTGCCATTCGTTATGGAGACGTAAGTTGATGGCATGTGAATGGTGTGGAAAGGTTGACGCTAATAACTTTTAGGCCACTTTGGCGATTTGCGAATTGTTTATTCAAATTTCTAGAGAAAATTTTTTATTCTTGAGAAGTTTTATTCGACGTAATTTTGAAAATATCAAATCACCATTGACCTCAAAAGATCAGAAAAGTCAATTGAATTGGTTGACAAAGTTAAACGTCTTTTCAATTTCTTGGACCTTTCAGCTTGAACTTTAGCTCGAGTTGCAGTCTAGAGATCATTTAAGTTTATCAAAGATTTTCCATTTATTCTTATAAGTCCGATTGATCATGGATTATGATTTTGAAATGACATTTAGTAAATTTCGAAAAGGTCTTTTCCAAAAAGTTGTCTAAAAGTCGATTGAAGAAAAAATCGTTTGATGCAATCGATTGAATAATCGATCAATTAGGTGAAAAATGTTCGAGTTACAAATAATCGGTAAACTATTTAATCGATCTCATTTTCGATAAAATCTTTAAACAACTTTAAACTCGAACCATAAATGAGCAATAAATAATATTAATACCTGAAGGGTTAATTGTTGACTCTCTTAACAATTGAGTCATTTAATTTCATTTATCATCAAAAGATGATTAACAATTTTCTTTATTTTCTAGAAATTTCTCATTTAAAACCCAAAGGATTGCAATTAGTTAACCTTCCCTAGAAATGTTGCTTTCCCTCATTTTCTTTTCTTTTCCTCCATTTTTCTATTTTTTTTTATAAATTTCGAAATTTCTGTTTATTCCCAAAAGAATTAATTATGTTTAATTGTTGGACTAACAATTTAGCTTTTTCCATATCAACTAAATTCTTTAGTTGTTTCCTTTTCCTCTTAAGTTGCTATAAAAAGCCAACATTAATTTTGAAAGTGTTAAGTCTTAATAGTCAAGTGTTACAATAAAATACATTTTGTTTCTATTATTCTTCACCTAGTACTGTTGAAGCTTCAAGCTAACTTTAATAAGTGCTAATTCTGAATAGTTCTCACTGTGTTTGTGTTGAATTGAATTTGTGCTTAATTTAATGGTAAAGGTTCAAACCTCTGAACTCACCTTCTCCCATTGTCTTGATTCTAATTCTGAATAGTTCTCACTGTATTTGTGTTGAATTGAATTAGTATCTGTTTCTCCTGAGGTTAGTATCTCTGAAATCACCTCAATCTTGATTCTATCTCTGAATAGTTCTCACTGTGTTTGTGTTGAATTGAGCTAGTATCTGTAATCACATTTGATTCTAATTCTGAATAGTTCTCACTGTGTTTGGTTTGAATTGAATTAGTATCTGTTTTCCTAAAGGTAAAGGTTCGAACCTCTGCAATCACCTTTATTCTTGTTTCTAATTCTGAATAGTTCAATATTGTGATTTATTGAATTGAGTTAGATTTTAATCTTTTCGTTATTAAATATATAAATTGGAAATTGTGTAAGTGGTAAAGGTCACGGGTAATCCAGCATACGAATCTTTAGGTAATTGTAAGACCTGAGAAAATCCTGAATTGGTTCAAACCTTCAATTTAACATTACAAAATGGCGCAGTCGACAGGATTGTCCGCTTCTCTTTCCTTCTGACGCGTTTCCTACTTATGTGTTTATGGCCGATGAACAAAGTCCAAAGGAAGCCTCAAAAATTTCTGGTCTCTCTTTCGACGAACAATCAACTTTATTAAAATCATGGGGCCTGGAAGTTCCAAATGAGGAATTGGCTAAGATTTTATTAAAAGAAGCCGCTGTTACTCAACTAATGATTGTTAACATCGATGTTTCTATTTCTAATATTGGAAAAATGAGTTCAAACTCGCTGAATGGTATCAATACTCCTGAATGGATTCTCAGATTGAGGAAGGAAGGAGTTAATGAAACCGAAATAAGAGAAATCATCTCTCATTTAGGTGTTAAACAAACAATGATGACTTTGGCTACTGAAGAATTGGTTAACCAATTAGCTATCAGTAAACCTGTTAAAATGTTAATCTGGTCAATCATCAAAAAGTGGAAACTTGGTGATGATGATGATGACCAACCTCGAGCAAGTACAGCAAGAAAAATGGTACATGCTGATACTCAAATTAGACGTGCGTTATTAGACTCTACTGGTAATGATGATGAAGATGTTCTTCATCAAGGAAGACAACAACAAATTGGTAATGATAATTTCCCCAAGAGTTCCAACTCCAGTTTCTGTAATAAATGTTCCTGTTCAGGAAAATGTTCAAGTTCCTATTCCTGTTTATGGTAATCAGTCAGTGCAACATTTCCCTTACCCAATGTTTGATAAAGACCCAGTTCTACCTCCCTTTAAGCCATCAATGGATGCATGGCAATGGCTTAAGAATGTCAAACGACAACTAAAGTATGAACGATGTTCCGATGAAACCCGATTACGTGTTCTAAAGAAAGCTCTAGCTTATGAATTTTTGAATGCAGCCGATTCATTAGATGAACAAGATCTCACCTACGATGGTTATGTTGAAGCTTTAGAAAACTACCTTAAAGGTCCAGCCGCTTTAGCTACAGCACAAGCTGAATTAAGCTCATTAATTTATAACTTTGATGAACATCCATCAATCTTTGTGGAAAAACTCAAGGATAGAGTGACAAAGGTAAAAGGTAAAATTGAAAAACAAGGTTTTATCTATGAAGTTTTAGAACACCTACCGAAAAATATACGAGATCATTTGGTCGAAGTACGTGCAAACGTTGATTTAGATTCATTACTTGGAGTATTGATTCATAAATATTATAACAACTTGGAACAAAAGAAAATGAAAGAGAAATCTTATCAAGAAAAGATTAAGATTAGAAACAATCAACAATTAACTGGAACTCCAACAATTAAAGATAATCGTTACAACAACAACCAGAAGAACCGGTAAGAAAAGTTCTTAAGTGTTGGAAGTGTCTTGAAACTGGACATACAGCTAATCATTGTCCCGTTAAAACACAATTACCACAATCAAATCAGCCGAGACCAACCTCTCAATCTGATTCAAGTAATCAATCAACATCTTCCAAAAGTTCAACTACCATTTCATCTAATCTAATAAGTGCAACAACTTCTAATGAGAGTCCAAACTCTTATCGATTTTGTTTTATGTCAAATGTAAAACATCAAATGATTACTCAAATCGACAATGAAAATGTTCCAAAGGTAACAATGCATTTGTGTTTACCTGATCGAACCCAATTTATTTCTGGTGATGTCTTAATTGACACCGGTGCTAATACTGCCTGCATTGATCGACAATTAGCCCACAGATTAAAAGCTTATGTTATGCCTTCAGATATAATAATCAAAGGTGTAGTTGCTAACAACTTTTTAAGTGTTCATGGTGCTGCTTATGCTTTAATGATGCATCGAGAAATGAAAACAGTGAAAGCTTTACGTTTTCAAATTTGTGATAATCTAGAACCAGTGATGGTTGTTGGAAATAAATTCTGTGATATTTTCTTCACTACAATTACAAATATTGGAGGTGAATATAAAGTGTCTCTTCAAGAGTATTTGGATACAGAACCTTTAGATTCCGAAATCTTCTTCCGATTCTGTACACCACAAGAATCAATTGAATTGAGTAAACAATCTGCCTCAACTCAAATTTATGCTCCAAGGTATGATGATGAACCTGAACCATCATATCCAAGTGAAAAAGTTAATCCTCACAAAGAACAAGAAATTAATTGTTTCATCAAATCAGTTGAAGAATCGGGTGAGTTAGAAAAAATCTCTATTCCCGTTACCGAATCGATTGAAACCCCAAATTTGGAGGAACGTTTAATGAAGCGAATGGATTCAAATTTATCTGAAGATAAAAAGTTCGAACTACTGAATCTATTAATGCAATTCTCTGACGTATTTTCGAAGAACCGATCTGATCTTGGATTTGTCCCCTGGCAGAAATGGCCTATTCGAATAGATATTGGCGATAATCAAGTCCCATATCAAAAACCCTACCCTTGTACGATAACAATAAGAAAAGCTTATCAAGAAATAATTAAGGATCTTTTAGCTAACGATATTATTGAACATTCTGATGCTCCTGGTGGATCTCCTGCGTTATTAATAAGTAAAACTGATGGATCTTATCGTTTACTAAATGATCTTCGAGCGGTCAACCGCATGACAAAATTAATTTACCACCCAATGCCCCGAGTGGATGATTGCTTGGAAGCAGTGAGAAATGGTAAATACTTCAACATGTTTGATTTGTATCAAGGATACTTTCAAATTGAAATTCCGCCTGATGAACGTTGTAAAACAGTATTTGTAACCCCTGATGGGAAATATCAATATAAAAGGTTACCAATGGGTTTATCATGTGCCCCCTTTGAATTTCAACGACTTATGAATAAAGTTCTGGAAGGACTGAATTATTCTGAGTGCATTGGATATTTCGATGATGTGCCTGTTATCGGAAAGTCGTGGCCTGATTTATTGGAAAATACTAAAAATGTATTGAGCCGTCTACGGCAATGGAATTTAAAAATTAAAACCGATAAATGTCGATTTGGTTGTCAAGAATTGGTATTGTTGGGACATTTAGTCAATGGTAATGGAATCCGACCTGATCCAA